AAACTTAAAATCAAAAGTTCGGCTGAATTTGACAATGCTGCTGACTAGTTAGTAATATCAACAAATTTCTGCTCTGGATACGCCCATCACTGCGGCAATGCGTAGATCTACCTGTTTAAACCTGCAGTTGTACATAGTAAATAACTTCCCTGTTGAGCGAGGTTACCGACAGACATACAGTGATTATAAAGAAATCGATAGTAAAGTAGGTCAGTGGAGTGTGTGTTTAAAAACCTTAGCATTTACATACTTGGCGTGTATTGTCTAAAATGTATGTGTATTCGGTAATCAGATACCTGTACTGTGGATAGATATACCTGTGTTTTTGGTAATAAGACATAGCTGTACTGTGGGTAGATAAACCTGTGTATTGGGTAATTAAGACATATCTGTACTGTAGGTAGGTATACCTGTGTATTGAGTAATAAGATAAACCTGTACTGAAGGTAGATATACCTGTGTATTGGGTAATAAGACATACCTGTACTGAAGGTAGATATACCTGTGTATTGGGTAATAAGATATACCTGTACTGTAGATAGATATACCTGTGTATTGGGTAATAAGACATACCTGTACTGAAGGTAGATATACCTGTGTATTGGGTAATAAGACATACCTGTACTGTGGGTAGATATACCTGTGTATTGGGTAATAAGACATACCTGTACTGTGGGTAGATATACCTGTGTATTGGGTAATAAGACATACCTGTACTGTGGGTAGATATACCTGTGTATTGGGTAATAAGACATACCTGTACTGTGGGTAGATATACCTGTGTATTGGGTAATAAGACATACCTGTACTGTGGGTAGATATACCTGTGTATTGGGTAATAAGACATACCTGTACTGTGGGTAGATATACCTGTGTATTGGGTAATAAGACATACCTGTACTGTGGGTAGATATACCTGTGTATTGGGTAATAAGACATACCTGTACTGTGGGTAGATATACCTGTGTATTGGGTAATAAGACATACCTGTACTGTGGGTAGATATACCTGTGTATTGGGTAATAAGACATACCTGTACTGTGGGTAGATATACCTGTGTATTGGGTAATAAGACATACCTGTACTGTGGGTAGATATACCTGTGTATTGGGTAATAAGACATACCTGTACTGTGGGTAGATATACCTGTGTATTGGGTAATAAGACATACCTGTACTGTGGGTAGATATACCTGTGTATTGGGTAATAAGACATACCTGTACTGTGGGTAGATATACCTGTGTATTGGGTAATAAGACATACCTGTACTGTGGGTAGATATACCTGTGTATTGGGTAATAAGACATACCTGTACTGTGGGTAGATATACCTGTGTATTGGGTAATAAGACATACCTGTACTGTGGGTAGATATACCTGTGTATTGGGTAATAAGACATACCTGTACTGTGGGTAGATATACCTGTGTATTGGGTAATAAGACATACCTGTACTGTGGGTAGATATACCTGTGTATTGGGTAATAAGACATACCTGTACTGTGGGTAGATATACCTGTGTATTGGGTAATAAGACATACCTGTACTGTGGGTAGATATACCTGTGTATTGGGTAATAAGACATACCTGTACTGTGGGTAGATATACCTGTGTATTGGGTAATAAGACATACCTGTACTGTGGGTAGATATACCTGTGTATTGGGTAATAAGACATACCTGTACTGTGGGTAGATATACCTGTGTATTGGGTAATAAGACATACCTGTACTGTGGGTAGATATACCTGTGTATTGGGTAATAAGACATACCTGTACTGTGGGTAGATATACCTGTGTATTTGGTAATAAGACATACCTGTGCTGAAGATAGATATACCTGTGTATTGGGTAATAAGACATACCTGTACTGTAGATAGATATACCTGTGTATTGGGTAATAAGACATACCTGTACTGTGGGTAGATATACCTGTGTATTGGGTAATAAGATATACCTGTACTGAGGGTAGATATACTTGTGTATTGGGTAATAAGACATACCCGTACTGTGGGCAGATATACCTGTGTATTGGGTTATAAGACATACCTGTGCTGAAGATAGATATACCTGTGTATTGGGTAATAAGATATACCTGTACTGAGGGTAGATATACCTTGGGTAATAAGATATACCTGTACTGAGGGTAGATACACAAGTATATCTACCCTCAGTACAGGTATGTCTTATTACCCAATACGCAGGTATATCTACCCACAGTACAGGCATGTCTTATTACCCAATACACAGGGATATCTACCTACAGTACAGGTATGTCTTATTACCCAAAACACAGGTATATCTACCTACAGTACAGGTATGTCTTATAACCCAATACACAGGGATATCTGCCCACAGTACGGGGATGTCTTATTACCCAATACACAAGTATATCTACCCTCAGTACAGGTATACCTGTGTATTGGGTAATAAGACATACCTGTACTGTAGGTTGATATACCTGTGTATTGGGTAATAGGTCATACCTGTACTGAATCTAGATATACCTGTATATTGGGTAATAAGACATACCTGTACTGAGGGTAGATATACCTGTGTATTGGGTAATAAGACACAATTTTTCCAAAAGTTATTGCCCTTTGTTTATTTCAGTATTTGATTTTTATCTGGCAATCTTCTCCTACATTTTTTGACCGATTTCTTTGAAACTTGGTATACATGATAACCATGATATGAAGTTGTGTCTCCTTTAAAAAAAATTGATTCGACAATTTTTCCAAGTGATTGCCCTTTGTTTATTTCAAAATTTGATTTTGTCCGGCAATCACCTCCTACATTTTTCAACGGATCTCTTTGAAACTTGGTATACATTATAATCATGATATGAAGTTGTGTCTACCCTATAAGAATTTTGATTCGACAATTTTTCCAAAAATTATTGCCCTTTGTTTATTTCAGTATTTAATTTTTGTCCGGCAATCTCCTCCTACATTTTTCAACAGATCTCTTTGAAACTTGGTATACATTATAATCATGATATGAAGTTGTGTCTCCCTTAAAATAATTTTGATTCAACGATTTTTGCAAACATTTTTGCCCTTTATTCATTTCAGTATCTTATATTTTGTCCAGAGATTTCATCCTACATTTTTTATAGCCTGTCAGCTTACCACTCTTAGAATGATGCAGATCTTATTTCAATGTTAGAAAGTATATAACACTATATGGCATTCGACAGGCGTATATTGTTCCACCCCGCGGTACTCTTGTTATCAATTTTACTGCATTGCAAGGTCACAGGAGACTTTGAATGACAGGTCAGGGATACAGCCCATTATGCCTGTTGTTTCTCTTGCAGGTGCGAATGTATTTATTGAGACTTAAAATAGGTTTGACATCCTGATATATTTTTATTGCGACGTTAGATAAGTTTGTTATCCCCCGATTTCACCGAAACAGGGGATATTAATTTGGGTTTGTCCGTCTGTCTGTCACGCTTCGTTTCCGTGCAATTACTGCAACAATGGTAAACCGATTTTCTTCAAACTTGGTAACAGGGGTAAATGTCTTAAGGGCTCAGCCAAGTTTGATACTTTATTTGGCAGAGTTATGGCCCCTTGAATAACGAAAAACGTCATTATCTGCAGTTTCCTCTTAATAACTCCAGCAAATATTAACCAAATTCCTTCAAACTTGATATCAATGTTTGTGTTTCTCTGTCTTTCCACACATCTCGGGCACTCTTTGGTTTTCGTGTGATAATTGCTGTAGATATTGTGCAGATATTTCAACCAAATTCTGTATGCACATCCGACTCGTGCTAAGTTTGCCAACCGATGTGATTTGTGGATATTTATAGATAATTAATGAGGTATAAGGCTTTTTTTTCAAGTTTCAAGCTATATATTATATCCCAACAGCATGATACTCACATGTTTAAACCTAACCTCAATCATGTTTACCTACAATATGTCCTGTAAGCAAGGGATATGAATTCCACGAATTTGCTTGTTTCCCTAGATATTGTGATGTTAAAATATATTTTTTACCAGTATTCAAAAGTTTGGAAATCGAATACATTTTCTAATTTTTTATTTGCGCACCTGCCCGAAGGGCTAGTGAGCTTATGCCATGGTCCGGCGTATGTCATCCATCCATCCGTCCGTCGTCTGTCAACTTTTCCTTTGAACGACTTCTTCTGAAGAATGGCAAGGCCTAGAGTCATGATATTTGGGTGATAATTTTGTTGGTTAGAGCCTAACAATGTTTGAGAACGCAAATGACCTTGACCAACTATTAAGGTCACAGCGGTCAAAAGTGTCAAATACTTAAAACGGCTTCTGAAGGACTGAAAGGTATAGAATCCTAATATGTGGCTGGTAGCTTTGTTGGTAATTAAAAGCCCAACAAAGTGTGAGAACGAAAATGACCTGGACCCACTATCAAAGGTCACAGGGGTCAAATATGTAAAACTTATCAAACAATATCTTCTGAATATTCGAAATGCATAGAATCATAATATTTGGCTGGTAATTGTCACAGATAGAGCCTGACAAAGTTTGCTATTGAACATTACCTCAACATACTTTTAAGGTCACAGGGGTCAAATATAGCAAACACTGTAAACAGCTTCTTTTCAAAAAGTGAAAGGCATGGAGTGGTGATATTTAACAAGTAGCTTCCTTGTATAGAGCCCAACAAAGTTTGCGAATGGAAATGACCTTTACCTACTTTATCATATTGCTTTATCTTAATCTAATTTGATATAGAGTATCCTTGGCCCAACATGGTTCAATGTTGTAGAAACCATGCCTCCTTCCCAATCGGGACAGGAGAATGGGACCCAATAAGGTAAGGGTATTACTGAGATACGTACAGAGCCAATATTTGGAAATATTTGTAGTACAGTAAAATATTTATTTAATATTTTGCTTTGACTGCTTAAATATCCAGGTGTGCAATACAGGCCCTCTGTGCCTCTTGTTTTTAACCCATTGTTATAGGCCTCACATAAGTAAGCATGTTTGTAATCTGTTTTTATAGGCTTGAGACACAGACAGAATACACTAAGGCCGCGGCTGTAGCTCTGTTTAACCTGAGAATGGGCAAGTCTATACAGATCCTGAGTAAGACTGCTACAAAACAAGGTAAGGATGTGATAACACGTCTCTATACAGATCCTGAGTAAGACTGCTACGAAACAAGGTAAGGATGTGAAAACACGTCTCTATACAGATCCTGAGTAAGACTGCTACAAAACAAGGTAAGGATGTGATAAAACATCTCTATACAGATCCTGAGTAAGACTGCTACGAAACAAGGTAAGGATGTGATAACACGTCTCTATACAGATCCTGAGTAAGACTGCTACGAAACAAGGTAAGGATGTGATAACACGTCTCCATACAGATCCTAAGTAAGACTGCTACAAAACAAGGTAAGGATGTGATAAAATGTCTCCATACAGATCCTGAGTAAGGTAAGGATGTGATAACACGTCTCTATACAGATCCTGAGTAAGACTGCGACGAAAAAAGGGAAGGATGTGATAACACGTCTCCATACAGATCCTAAGAAAGACTGCTACAAAACAAGGTAAGGATGTGATAAAACGTCTCTATACAGATCCTGAGTAAGACTGCTACGAAATAAGGTAAGGATGTGATAAAACGTCTCTATACAGATCCTGAGTAAGACTGCTACAAAACAAGGTAAGGATGTGATAAAACGTCTCTATACAGATCCTGAGTAAGACTGCTACAAAACAAGGTAAGGATGTGATAAAACGTCTCTATACAGATCCTAAGTAAGACTGCTACGAAACAAGGTAAGGATGTGATAAAGCGTCTCTATATAGAACAACTTCTGTGTTATAACAGAAAATTATCTTTATGTATACTTCATTTTACATGCAAGCAATGATGATATTCCAATGGCTATTAAGGTGTGTGCTCTGTCACCAGACTTGGGACTAGAAAAGCATTTGTAAACTTTGCCATATAATGGTAGCACACTATTATCTATATATATAGGTAAGCTTTATCTTATAAAAGGTAGTGTGTAATTATCTGCATGTAAACTTTGTCTGATTCTGGCTGCCTGTAAATATATGTATATAATGTATTTAGAGGAGAATTTCTTGCAAACAGATCAATTTTGACATTAGATAAGTGTAGCATTTTAAGTGTGTTTATTTCGTTTGCTTAATGAGGTATGATGTCTCTTTAGTTTGGTAACAATTAAAATATACCATGTGCAAAATTGATCTTATGTAACAGGTTATGAAAACCTGAGTGCAGTTGCCATGGCGATAGCCGGGTACCAAGAGGAGCAGCAGACAATGTGGCGCCGTACATGTGGGTCTCTGATCCAAACAGTCCACGACCCCTACCTCCGTGCAATGTTCTGTTTCCTCTCCAGTGATAAGGAGAACTATGATGAAATTCTGGTACAACTTTTGCTATATATATTTTTATTTTATTACCCGAGGGCAGGATAATATACACTAGAATTGGTGTTGCTGAGTTAGATGTTGTGGCAACTATTTCAAAGCGTTCACTACTTTTTAGAACTGGAGGACCAAGGGTCATGATATTTGGCCAATAGGTACCTCGGATAGAGTGCCGTAAAGTTTCCTCATTAAAATGACCTTGACCTACTTTCAAGGTCACATGGGTCAAATATGTTAAAAATTTCAAACAACATTATACGAAGAACCATTTGGTCTAGAGTCATGATACTGTGATACTTGGGTATGTTATGTAGACCAGCTGTGTGAATCTTTTTCTTTATTACAGTAGTGAGGTCAAAGATCAACATAAAGTGCTAGCCGGAGTCAAAGGTCAACATGGGTTAATTCTTTAAAATTAACATTTCAAATTTCATACAACAATATCTTAAGAACCATTTAAGAGATGTTAAAATGTCTGGTGTTCTAGTTATCGAATTTGGTCTGAAGTTATCTATGTCAGTTTCATGTAACAAAAGAAACAGGGGAGCGATACAGGCCCTCTGGGCCTCTTGTTTGAACATCTATTTTGTTGTATTTTAAAAACCTGTAAATTAATCACAGGCATAGGGCTGCCAATATCTGTGTTAGAATTCCATCTTTAATGACAAGATTTTAAGAAGTCTAAAGCTGTGTTTAGAGATTATAAATATTGAGGGGTGTATTATATTCTGCTTATGGTATTCTTGTTTAAAGGTGTCACAATACACCTGAAGCATACTCACAGTATATTGCAATACACAAAGGATGTATTGTGATGATTAAATGTCTGAATATTGTCATAGGAAAAGGGTGCTCAATTTAAACAAAAACTGTTGTTGGAATGTTATCAAACTGAATCATATTATATGAATCACACAACTTTAAGACTTCCATTATACAAATGTAACAACCATTTAATTATGAAACCTGAACTGATTCCCATCATTTCTTATATGTATAGACTGCTTCTGGTTATTGACTTGTATTTTAATGTATTTACTACTAGAATAAGTAGTAATTTTCAAAATTAAAACACCCAGCAGAAACATAAAAGTAAGCTTTTGACAAATATTGTGTTACAGCGATATATTTAATTTCTGTATTGCGATATGATACATCCTGACTTTGTACAGTTAACACATGAGTGATTTTTCTCCACCTTCTTACCGATATTGGGACCTAAGAGCAGTTCCCTAACTCCATGTAAAGACGGCGTGGTACATTGTACATGTATTTCTCTATATCTGGCAGATTTAGAGATACATCGTATGTGGTGTACAATGTACCACAACATATATATTGTGACAGGCCTTCTCAATTTTGTCATCAGTCTGTGTTTAAAGTGTTAATAAATAGGTCTGGGGCTGCAAATATATAGCCAATACCATGCAGAGATATCTGATTATGAAAGTATGACACTGGCTGACCGCCCCTTTGGTTGTTTGTTGCAGGGTGACCACAACTGTATGCCGGTGGCTGACAGAATAGCTTTTGCCTGTATATACCTCTCTGACCAAAAGGTAAGTTTTCTTCAAATATTGACCGGATTGTTCTGTCAAAAAGGGCTTTGCAAATCCTGGTCAACCATGAATTTCAAACTTTAATATCTGAAAGCAAGTACTCTCAGTGGTATTTGTACTTCAGCTAGTAATAAAGGTACCATGTATAGAGTTTTTTTACAGATGTTCATCATGGTCTTAAAACTGCTAGCATTCCTTGGGGGTGAAATTGGTGTAAAGGATCATGGGTAAAAAACAAATTTTGCCATTTCACACTGCCAGTAAAACACACAAAATAAAAAAACTTCAACAAGGCTAACATACATATTGCTGTGCTTTCATTGTGAACTGAAATCTTAAAACATGTTGTTTGAAGTACAATCACTTAAAAACAGGTACCGTGGGTATTCAAGATGTACTGCTTGTAATACATGTGTACCTGTAATAAGGTGGAGACTGTTACTGTTAACATTGTTGTTTGTTTCTACAGTTAAAGGAGTACGTGGACAACTTGAGCAGTATGATGAAGGACGAGGGATGTTTGGACGGCTTACTTCTCACTGGTATGTAATTAATTAACATGCTATCTCATATAAACACATGAAATATTACAATAAAGTCACATTTTATACTGGGTAAGATTTATGTTTGGGCTGGATAAAATTCACCTTCAATTTGTGTGGGTAAATTTGACTTTTTTGTGCTGGGTAAAAGTAGCGAATAGATGAGATTGAAGTAGATACAATCCTGTTTGTCCTCTGTCCCTACTTGAGGACTTATATGGAGGTACTTTGTAGTTGTAATTCTATATATCATCTCTCCCTACCCCAGGGCTGACATTGGAGGGCGTGGAACTATTACAGAATTATGTGGATAGGACCGGCGATGTCCAGACTGCTGCCCTCGCTGCCGTCTTCACATTTCCTTGTGAGATGTCACACAACGAAAAGGTCATCACCTGGATAGAAAGGGCAGATATGTTTACTACTCCCTGTGGATAGAATGGTCAGATATGTATACTACTCCCTGTGGATAGAAAGGTCAGATATGTAAACTGCTCCCTGTGGATAGAAAGGTCAGATACGTATGCTACTCCCTGTGGACAGAAAGGTCAGATATGTATACTACTCCCTGTGGATAGAAAGGTCAGATATGTTTACTACTCCCTGTGGATAGAATGGTCAGATATGTATACTACTCCCCATGGATAGAAAGGTCCGAGATGTATACTACTCCCTGTGGATAGAAAGGTCAGATATGTATACTGCTACCTGTGGATAGAAAGGTCAGATATGTATACTGCTCCCTGTGGATAAATAGGTCAGATATGTATGCTACTCCCTGTGGATGGATACGTCAGATATGTATACTACTCCCTGTGGATAGAAATGTCAGATATGTATACTGCTCCCTGTGGATAGAAAGGTCAGATATGTATACTGCTCCCTGTGGATAGAAAGGTCAGATATGTATACTACTCCCTGTGGATAGAAAGGTCAGATATGTATACTACTCCCTGTGGATAGAAAGGTCAGATATGTATACTACTCCCTGTGGATAGAAAGGTCAGATATGTATACTGCTCCCTGTGGATAGAAAGGTCAGATATGTATACTACTCCCTGTGGATAGAAAGGTCAGATATGTATACTACTCCCTGTGGATAGAAAGGTCAGATATGTATACTACTCCCTGTGGATAGAAAGGTCAGATATGTATACTACTCCCTGTGGATAGAAAGGTCAGATATGTATACTACTCCCTGTGGATAGAAAGGTCAGATATGTATACTACTCCCTGTGGATAGAAAGGTCAGATATGTATACTACTCCCTGTGGATAGAAAGGTCAGATATGTATACTACTCCCTGTGGATAGAAAGGTCAGATATGTATACTACTCCCTGTGGATAGAAAGGTCAGATATGTATACTGCTCCCTGTGGATAGAAAGGTCAGATATGTATACTACTCCCTGTGGATAGAAAGGTCAGATATGTATACTACTCCCTGTGGATAGAAAGGTCAGATATGTATACTACTCCCTGTGGATAGAAAGGTCAGATATGTATACTACTCCCTGTGGATAGAAAGGTCAGATATGTATACTACTCCCTGTGGATAGAAAGGTCAGATATGTATACTACTCCCTGTGGATAGAAAGGTCAGATATGTATACTACTCCCTGTGGATAGAAAGGTCAGATATGTATACTACTCCCTGTGGATAGAAAGGTCAGATATGTATACTACTCCCTGTGGATAGAAAGGTCAGATATGTATACTACTCCCTGTGGATAGAAAGGTCAGATATGTATACTACTCCCTGTGGATAGAAAGGTCAGATATGTATACTACTCCCTGTGGATAGAAAGGTCAGATATGTATACTACTCCCTGTGGATAGAAAGGTCAGATATGTATACTACTCCCTGTGGATAGAAAGGTCAGATATGTATACTACTCCCTGTGGATAGAAAGGTCAGATATGTATACTACTCCCTGTGGATAGAAAGGTCAGATATGTATACTACTCCCTGTGGATAGAAAGGTCAGATATGTATACTGCTCCCTGTGGATAGAAAGGTCAGATATGTATACTACTCCCTGTGGATAGAAAGGTCAGATATGTATACTAATCCCTGTGGGTAGAAAGGTCAGATATGTATACTACTTCATGTGGATAGAAAGGTCAGATATGTATATACTACTCCCTGTGGATAGAAAGGTCAGATATATATACTGCTCCCTGTGGATAGAAAGGTCAGATATGTATACTACTTCCTGTGGATAGAAAGGTCAGATATGTATATGCTACTTCCTTTGGATAGAAAGGTCAGATATGTATACTACTCCCTGTGGATAGAAAGGTCAGATATGTATACTACTCCCTGTGTTAGTTAAACTGTTAGAAACTTGATTCCAGTTAAATATGTTTGTCTTAGAATTTTACAAGGTTTTCACTTATTCGTGACTATGAGGTAGTTTTGACAATATTCATACTGTATATAGTCTTCATTGAATTATTATGTGTCCCCTTTGAATGAAGGGAGACATATTGTATTAGCACTGGTTCTTCTGGTTCTGGTTCTTCTAAGATGATCGTTTCCGGTCCGTAACTTTTAAACTGTTAAAGATGTCTTGATAGAACTTGCAGAATACCTGCATCATCCATAGACGATGTGCAGATGACATCAATGCAGTGTCATTGGATCACTGTGGCCTTTACCTCAAGGTCAAAGGTCCAATAAATCTGATTGTTCTAAACATTTAAAAGTGTAGGCTATGGTGATGCCAACGGTTCCTAACTGTGTCTAAGTTTGCTTAAACTTAGTATCCAAATATATGATGGCATAGTAATGTCTATCAAAGCACCATCTGTCATAGGGTCAGTTTTAAGGACTTCTGTAATTCCCCATTAATTCCCATTAATTCCCCATTAGAATTAGAACTTGTTCATATATGCATTTTATAATTAAGCAGTTGGCAGTTCCTCTGATAATAAGGTCAAATAATAAGTGCTGAGTTAAAGATATCCTGATAAAACTCCAGTATATCTGCATCACCCACAGACGATGTACAGTGCACTTATTAAACTGTTAAAGGGGATACATAACTTTTTATTCACAAAAACACAACTTTATAGTCATGCATATATATATAACTATAATTTTGTTTTCTCAGAAATGCTTGAAATACTATTTCTTAATGTGTTCAATGGTTTGTATATTGCAGCTATAGGGAACTTCTAGACCGGTGGAAACTCTGGCATCAAAGGTAAATAACATTGTTAACCTTATGGAGTCATCAATATTAGTAATACCTGAAATCTACGAAGAAGATATTTAAAACCATGTTTACTGAAAAGTGATAGTTGGGCCTACAACTAAAAAGAAACTTTATTCATTTACAACAATTCTGAAACAAGTTATATAACTTATATTAATCACTCTTGTTGGATGGATGTACTACATGGGCAAAACAATAGTTTCTTTGAAATTGTTGACCCAAATGTTAAGATTGGTTTCCATAATGTATTTGACCGTTGTGCTTTTTTCTACGCTACAGAGCAGAATTTGACATCATACGTCACTCCAGTGATAGTCACAGCTCAATGCGACACAATCGGCCCCAGGCGTATGTTAGCTGTAACTTCTGTGGGAAGTCCATAGCCTGTAACACGCAGGCTCCTTTCCGTCTCATGTCACGCTCCATGATGTCCATGTCTGCCAACAAACCAAAGGTATACATAACACACCTGTATTGTCTACTGTACAGACGGTTTCAAGATTAAAGCTATTTCAAAGTAGTTATGTGTATGTCTCAGAAGTAAAATTACCTATACCGGATACAAGTAACAAGTAACTGTCTTTTTAACAGATTTGTATGCATAACAATTTCCAATTTTTTGAATATTTTGAACAAATTTCATCGGCACAAAAAAAAAAGATCTACCAAATTCAAAACTGATTTGTCATCTGAATACAAGCTGTATAAATTTTTGAAAAGGATATATTTTTCATATTTTTGCACATCATTTTTCACTCTCAGATAAGCTGTTGTCCAGGCTGTAGGAAGCCTCTCCCAAGGTGTGCAGTGTGTTTGACTAACTTAGGGACTCCCTCAGGATCCACACTGTGTCAACAGATAGAACATAAAGGTCAGTCTCACCTACAGCATAAAGGTCAGTCTCGACTAAAACATAAAGGTCAGTCTCGACTACAACATAAAGGTCGGTCTCAACTACAACATAAAGGTCAGTCTCAGCTACAACATAAAGGTCAGTCTCAGCTACAGCATAAAGGTCAGTCTCAGCTACAACATAAAGGTCAGTGTCGACTACAACACAAAGGTCAGTCTCAGCTACAATATAAAGGTCGGTCTCACTACAACATAAAGATCAGTCTCGGCTACAACATCAAGGTCAGTCTCGACTACAACATAAATATCAGTCTCAGCTACAATATAAAGGTCGGTCTCACTACAACATAAAGATCAGGCTCGGCTACAACATCAAGGTCAGTCTCGACTACAAAATAAATATCAGTCTCAGCTACAATATAAAGGTCTGTCTCACTACAACATAAAGGTCAGTCTCAGCTACAACATGAAGGTCAGTCTCGACTTCAACATAAAGGTCAGTCTCGACTACAACATAAAGGTCAGTCTCGGCTACAACATTAAGGTCAGTCTCGGCTGCAACATTAAGGTTAGTCTCGACTACAGCATAAAGGTCAGTCTCAGCTACAACATAAAGGTCAGTCTCGACTACAGCATAAATGTCAGTATCGACTACAGCATAAAGGTCAGTCTCGGCTACAACATAAAGGTCAGTCTCAGCTACAACATAAGGGTCAGTCTCGACTACAGCATAAATGTCAGTATCGACTACAGCATAAAGGTCAGTCTCGACTACAGCATAAAGGTCAGTCTCGACTACAACATAAAGGTCCGTCTCACCTACAACATAAAGGTCAGTCTCGACTACAACATAAAGGTCAGTCTCGACTACAGCATAAAGGTCAGTCTCGACTACACCATAAAGGTCAGTCTCAGCTACAACATTACAGTCAGCCTGAGCATAAAGTTCTGTCTTTCTGTCTGCAACTTAAAGTTCAGTCTGACATCATAGAGGTCGGTCTCATAGAACTTGAATTTCATGTTCTCAAAATATGACATAGCAAGTAAAAAAAAAATGGAGAAAAGCAACTCCTGAATCAAGTATAACTGTAAAGATACTGGTCCTGATTAGTGTTGGTCTGCGAGGCAGGACGTCCTCAGAGCACAGCTATTTGGTGACAGTTACATGGTGATGACAGAGTAGCATGCTAGGCCGGTCGGGGTCAGACCACAGCTATTTGGTGACAGTTACATGGTGATGACAGAGTAGCATGCTAGGCCGGCCGTGGTCAGACCACAGCTATTTGGTGACTATATTAGTCCAAAACCAGTCAACACCAGTATCAATGTAGTTATGGAAACCTGGATTCAAGAGTTGCTTCTTTCTTTTATCTACTTGCTTTGCTTTACTTATTCCTTTCACCACTGTAGACCATAATGGACTCGTCCATATCAATGCATGGAAGAGTTTACTAAAGTTACATAGGATTGAAAGGGTTAAATATGGCTAGACAATAAGAGAAAATAGTAAATATGGCTAGACAATCAGAGACAATAGTCTGAGACTAGTGAAATCTCCAGCTGGACTAGTGGTTCTAAAAATCACTAGCCCTATAAACTAGTCAACTTGATATCGCTCATCTTGTTGAATAATATTGGGTTAGTGGAATTTGGACAAGGACTAGTAAAAATTGGAAACTACTACCCCAATTGACTAATGGTATTTAAAATTAATTTCTAGCTCTGCTTTAAAAGGGTTTCTGTATATCATCAGGTATCCTCCTAAAACCTAGAAGATGCAGACTTTTTCTACACTTATTAGATGTTGGTTCTTTACTCCTGAATTATGGAAATTAACACATAGTACAATTTTGCATTTCTCATTACAACTTGTGTAATTTAACAGTTTTAAGGTGTTAAACATTTGTTTCAGATTTGGAGAACAAGTTGACCCCATTAGACGACTGGTTTACCTGGTGTCAAACTTGTCGCCATGGCGGCCATGCCTCACACATCACCTCTTGGTTCAAGGATCACCCACAATGCCCTGTAACAGGATGTGACTGTAAATGTGCAACTTTAGATCCTATAGGACGACTGAAAGCTACTTCACCACTAGTGCCTGCTGGGAAGGCTTGACCTTACATTGCTCTAAGAATCGATATCCAGAGTATTCGACAAGATGTGCAATACAAAGTTCCGTAAACTGTTAAATTGTATACCTTGACCCTTTCACCACTGTGGACCAAAATGGACTCATCTAGATCAATGCATGGTAGAGTCTACTAAAGTTACATAGGGGTGAAAGGGTTAAAATTGTCCCGCATAATTTATCAGTTAAAAATAGAGTAAAACTTTTTCATTCAGTCACCGTTTGTCCAGAAGCATTTAGGCATGATTGTTTTGGAAAAGACCAATAAATGGAGGGAGACTTGAAAAAAGAATTCTAAGGGAAAATGGTGACACAGAAAGAGGTTATATTTGAAACCAGATGAGGCAATACACTAATTTTACTGTGCATTTGAATCTGTATTTCAAATTTCATTTTGCACACAATATACGAATGCAGATGTAATGCCTAAAGGTAAACATCTGACTTTTATTGTTTTCACTTAACCTGCATTCTTGCTAGTACTAGTAATAATACCCAGCCTCCTCTGCCCCGAGCGGGTATTAAATCAATTCCATGCCTTGTAATGGAGCAAGCCCGGTGTGAATCACACCGGGGCGATTTTAGAATTAACTGACTGCACATTGGTCCGCATCCATTAACAGGTTTGTAATACATGTATGAACTATTTCTGTTGATATCTATATGTCTCTCTTCCGATTTAGGTCAGACGTCTATATATGGGTGTCATGGCCCAATATGGAAATTGTAGTGAACATGGCGGCATCTTTAGTAATACTTTATTTGGCCATGCAGCCATATATAGAAAGGATAATTGAGATTACATCACACGTGATCTGTCATGGCAGTCATTTCTAAAAAAAATATCCAAGACGGACTTGACTAACTTTGTGAAAGAGTTTTTTTATTGGTAAGGATTAGTTTTACAACAATTATGCAATATTAAACCTGTGTCATTTCATTTTAGTAATTTCCATGTGCGAAGTGTCAATATTTCCTTTACCAATTGATTATTTGAAAATACATGTACCCTGATGTGATTGTTCAATAGTTTTAGTTCCGTTATCAATAAGTTATGTACATCCTGCGTTCTAATGAGTTCTGCACCGCGTATAACTTTGGGAGAGCTGAAACACACTTTTTTTCTTGCCGTTTTTTTTTTTTTCCTAATTAAGTGATTAAACAAAGCATACATGCATGAGAATGTAAATCTGAATTGTCCCATCAATCTTATTCAAACATTTTAAAGGGAAATAACTCTAAACACAAATCGACATGGTAGCATATGTATTTAAATTGTAAATTGACCAAAGAAATTTGCTGTTATGCATTATTTCTGACCATAGTCCTAGCAGATTACTTACTGGACCTGCTGACCATTTATCAACGTTTAGATGACATCCTCAGTTGTTGTACCTTTATAACAGTTATACCTAATAACAGCTGTTATATACCTTTATAACAGCTGTTATACATTTATGACAGTTGTTTTACCTTTATAACAGCTGTTTTACCTTTATAACAGCTGTTTTACCTTTATAACAGCTGTTTTACCTTTATAACAGCTGGTATACCGTTATAACAGTTGTTATACCTTTATAACAGTTGTTGCATCTTTATAACAGTTGTTTTATCTTAGTTTATAACAGTTGTCGTACATTTATAACAGTTGCTGTACCTTTATAAAATGCTTATTCCTATTGGAAAATAATACAACAATCAACATTTCAAACATGTTTTTGTTTTCAAATAATGTCATCATCAAATAGTTGAAGTTTCCTTTTCGGGCCTCATATTGAGTTTGCCAAATGTGACGTAATAAATGTTGTTACCTCGACCTCTTAGGTGCAGTCAGAAATGACTTACCGGTATGTAAAAAACATTCAGGATTTGTAAGAGCACCAACATGATATTTATGTAGCTAATAGATTTTAAAAGGTATAGCTGGGTATTTACGACAGGTTTTGTTTAGTGGGACCCTTCACCAAATACTTTTTGGTTTAACAATACATATTTTACCCTCAACCTTCATCAATAACATCCCATAATAACCACTTGTAAAAATATGTATCTTTATGCGTAATGATCAAATCATTTTTTGATTTTTTTCTTCATAACACACAGCCAGCTATTTGTCTGTGGCTGGAGTTTGTGTATGCCATCTTGGTCCTAATTTAGGGTTTAATATTCCATGTTTAAAAATTCCCAACCAAATATAGTACAAAAAATAAAGGTAATGCTTATCTCACCCAGCACACCAAAGTGTGTAATGTTATATCATATTCCATACAGTTACTTTGTACCCTTTTATAACATCATTGTAAGTTTAACGATAGTTTTGAACAACCGGGCCCAGATCATCCGATGAATAAGTCTGTCATCACAAGCAGCTTTTCATATGATTTAAGTCGTAACCTCACCTCATTCAAGGCATAATTTCTACAGCTATGCAAAAGTGACACTTCAAACCCGTGTCATTTCATTTAATTAATTTCCATGTGCGAAGTGTTAATATTTCCTTTAACAATGGATTTTTTTAAAATACATGGACCTTTAAAGGTATCACAAAGTTATGTACAACCATCGTTCTAATGAGTTCTGCAACTCATATTACTGTAGCAGTTAGTACAGGACACTTCCGTTGACCAGGTAGCTCAATAGGTTAGAGCGGAAATATTACCATGTAAAGTTACTCTTGTTGATTCCTTTTGTTTAGTTCATCTTTATTATTTCTCATAGAAGTCTCACAAGGTATGGTTTTCTTTTCAGAAATGATTTATCAAAGCTATATAGTCATGTCGAAAAAAACACAATCTCCATTACATACGGTAAAACCCCGTTGTAATGCCACCCGTTAAACCACTTAACATGCATACCGCCATTAATTTACTCGGAACGGATTTCCCCAACAATAATGCACCCGTTGTAACGCCAAACTTGCATACCGCCATCATATTTCCAACAAAAATGGTTAAAATCACACTATTTTGACCTCGTTAAATACCATCAATTTGAGTCAAGTACAGGTATATCCTGATGAAAGGAATGTTACGTACGTGTGTACATTGTATTGTTACACGTGCCTGTCGACTGACCAGGTAGTCAGCTGTATGTTTTGCATGCTCAATAATTTACATTAAATTACAATTTTGGAGAAAAAAAACGTATTCTGAAGTAAAAAAATATATTTTAGAATATAAGTTCAGTTGTTGTGTGAACACTTGGGTTTAAAACTGTAAACCTGATATACTGCCAAAATCACAGAGGACAGAAGGTGGCGGTATAACGAGGTTTTACTGTAGTTCGTTTTTGGCAGTGGTATGGGGATCCTTAAACTCCCTCCTTGCAATGTCGCTAACTACATGAAAGTCCACATAGCAAATGTAAAGTTACTTCATAATTCTCCACATGCATGTATCATGTTTACAGAATCATTTTAAGTAAAACCGTCTGATATTGACCACTCCCAAGGCAGGTTAAATTTGTTAAATATTGACTGATAAGTGCGAGATGGAAAGGAAGTTTCATATTACAAAAGCTTTTGTTAAAGTTAATTTAGCGACTTACAGGTCTGTATGTATGCAAAAATGATATTGAATTACAATTACAATTGAAGTGCTTTATGTCCGAGTATTTTTAAGCAAATTCAAATCTACCTATTGCTGTAGTGTAATCGTGAGTAAAATGTGTCCAAATGCTAGGTGTGTGTGTGGGTGTAACAGCTGTGATATTGATTTACTTGTCGCTGTGTGATCAAGGCCAAATGTATTTGCTGTGTAATTTATGTGAATGTATAAACAGTGAATAATCTTTTGTGGTTGTTTTATTTTCTTGATACAATACATATACACCTATACCTTTCACATAAATACTCGCAGACAAAAATAAGGGTAAAAAGAAATCAAATGTTTGTGAATTTCCAGCCAATATCTGCACAAGTTTTTAATATGTTTTTTTAACAAATTACAAACATGGATGTATCATGACGATGTATAACATATATAACTCTTGGACCTGTACCCCACATGTCAGGAATACAGCAAGGGATCAAAAGTCAAATCTTATAGATTTCTTTATCGGGGCTTTACCTTTTATAGGCTAAACATTTTCTTTTGAATACTGTATAACACGAAATGTTCGTGGATACTTTCCTTCGTGGTTTGACGCCATTTAGATTGACGTTTCGTGGTACAAACTTTCGTGGATATCCTTTATTATCAAACAGTAGACACCTTATCATTAAAATTTGTTGTATTTATGTTCGTGGTTCCATAGCAACCATGAAAACCACGACTGTTTATACACAACGAACATTTCATGTTATACAGTATGAAACATCATATAATAACATAGTATCATCAAATATTTAACTAGGACTTCTGGTTTTAAAATTTCTTTGAAGGAAAAGTGGACAGATGTCACACCACAGCATAATAAGTTCACAAGAAATTTAAGGAGTGTTCAAAATTGCTTCTTTGAAAGAGGTACACATGTGTATGTACTCAATGAAAAGTAAAAATAATATCCTGTTAAGAAATAAGTTTATTTACAAAGTAGACACCTTATCATTCAAATTTGTTCCATAGCAACC